GATTCTAATATAAGTCAATAGCTGATGAGAAAACATAAGTTCAAGAAAAGTAATATATTACTTGTCGTAAGTAAAATTCAAATAATTTGTTGTCCTTTATGGATTACAAAAAGTTTGCGTAAACACTGAGAAAAATAATACTTTTACTGCAAAATTTAGTAAATGGTATCTTTAAACTGAGTAATACTCATTTAAAAAAAATGTGAAATAAGAAGAGAGTTGCGCGTTGACCACTATGTGAGGTGGTTGTGCTCTTCTTTGGTCTTGCGTGTGCTACACAGTCAAGTTTCGGGTACCAGTAAACCCTAAATAAGCAAAGTTGGCCGCCTGACGCTCTGATATATAGTTAACTTCGTTAATTATAACTAATCAGCAGAAATTTCTTTCGTAGAGATGACTGCCTTACAATCCACTTATAACCTATTCATACAGCCGAAACGTCATGCTACACTCTGCTGTAGTTCCACAAACTCACTTTTCTACTAAAAAAAATATGGTTACCTTTGATCACACAGACAGAATTTCAATTTATGTCCATACTACTGTAATTGGAGAACTAATTCAATCTGGAAACGTGATATTTTCATCTCGCATCTCTCAAAATCGTGTATATTGACACCTTAGTTCTAAAAATTACGTGTAAGAATTGTCTGGAAAAAAGTTAACGTCAGGGCTATAACTCTAGACGTGCGCCTACTAGTTTCTTAGCCGAAATTTGTTTTGACTTCAAATGTATGTTAAATAATTCTGCATGGTATTATTAATAATGAAGTACAATAACGTGGACAAAATTTCAGTGTCGCAACTCTTCTAAATCAAAATAGGAGGCAAGAAATCTGAATTTACAGATAACGTGGTGTGCATGACTTGAACGCAGCCGCAGATATATTCTTTGCGGAAAAAGAAGAACACAGAGTGCACAGAGTGCACGAATGCACTGTCACTCAGAAAATAACGCCATGCATGCGAGAACACACTGCCACTCGGCAGGTTTAGGACAATGAGGAGACGGCGTGCACGAACACTTTGCTGCTCGGCAGGATCAGGGAGACGAAAAAATGGCGTGCACAAACGCACTGCCGCTCAGCAAGATTAGAAAAACAAAAAAGTGGCGTCCACGAAAGCATTGCCACTCAGCAGGTTTAGGAAGACCAGAAAACCTTGTGCGCGAACGCACTGCTGCTTAGCAGGTTTAGGAAACGAGAAAACAGCAACACGGCGTTATGCACAAGATTGTGCATGAGTTAGGACCAGGAGTTGCTGTGATGGTTGCGGCGTGATGCCAGAAGAGACAGTATTTCCCTCAAAGCAGAGTTTAGTACTCTAGGAACTCGCAAGCTATAGGCTAGAGCAATTAGAGTACAGCTCAAAAGAATCTCAACCTCAGTTCCCCGGCTCCTACTTTCTCTTTTCATATGATATATGTATGGTTAACCCTAGCCGCTTATATATACTATCTTTACTTCCTCTACCGTACTGCGTAGTATCTGAGTAGGCTATGTAACTGACGTTTTTGCTAAACACATCTTTGAATTGCATCTGCGATGATTTTTTTTTTCTTTATGGCTAACCATTTTAAAATATTTATAAAAATGAGTGAATAGTTCCAAAAATTACGCTGATAACTTTTTTTGAATGCATTAATTTAAATATACAAAGCTTCCTCAAGCATAAGAATAGCTATAAATTAGAAATAAGAAACATGTGAAGTCCTTGATAATTTAAATCTGTCAATGAGCATAAAACTTACGTATAATAATACATCAAGCCCGTTTGTTTGAAGTATTTCAAAAGAATCTTATTATTTTCGTAATAAAAACTGGACAAAATAATGGGGCAAGGTGGTTAAGAAACTGTAACGCTTTCTCTATAATGTAGCAAAAAGTACCATGCTTGTTAAGTTTTGAACTTCATGCGACACAAAAATTATGCAATTTAGTATTATTGAACCTGTTTTTGGTAACTACCTAAGACAATTAATAATATACCTTCTTTAATTAGCCTTTTATTCGTTACGTTCTTTGGAACTGTTTGCTTTCTTTTCTCTACGTGTTTTATTGTGCAAATTTCTAGTATAACATTATGTTCTCGGAATTTGGCGTCAAAATGTAACTGACAAAAATAGCTTTACGCAGATAAATAACAAATTTTCAGAAAAATATCGAATTAAAGCAGAAATTGATTTTAACAAAAACTGTGACTCTTGGCCATTGTAGTTTGTCACAGATAAAACGGCTTTAATAACTAAAATCAACAAAACTCGCTACAACTTGACAACGCTTGACATTTGCATTCGAACACATTCCTCTTATTCTGCTATACATAAAAGTCAGAAAACGTTCTTAGATTTCAAACTAAAACATACGTTCGATTGATCCGGAAGATTACGAATTAACAACAAATAACATTTAAATAATAAATTAAATTAAAAATTTTGTCAATCTGATATTAAAAATATTAATATATTGTAATACAACTCAAAAAGTGTGTTGTTAAGATAAACCTGTAATGTTTATAGTTCACCACTAACATTCTAATTTAGATTAATCCCTGTTTAGAAAATTACTATAGAATTTCCTACAAAAGACTTTAAGAGGATGTTTCGGATCTTTTTTACACAATATTCTTGTAATATCGTAATTAATTTTCCTAAATTCGTTTATACATCTCAATTTGAGGACGAAATCACTGTGTACGCCAAACCCTAAAGTGAGAAAAGAGCGAAATCTATTTTATAAAACACAATCAAATAACTAATGACAACTTAAGTTGTTTGTGACTTGACTTAAAGCCCAAAAAACTGAGTTATTAAATTTTTATTTGGCGCTTGGCGGGAGTCAGACACCAAAACCTTAATTATTTAAATAAAAGGTATATTTATCCACTTATCTACTATAAATTTTTTGTATATTTTTCTAAACATCGAAAGGACCATTACTACATTAAAAAAATCAAAAACTCAGCTATTAGGATAGCTATACAATACAGAATCGGTAAACCAACTAAAATTCTTCGCTTGTAATAACTTGTAAACAAAATTTGTATGTAACACGTACCTTTCCTAAATTCTGTCGTATCATAGTCTTGAAACTTTGAAAAATGTGAATAATTATCACGAAATATGTGTATTATGCATCGATTAGATTCAGTAAATCATAAGCCAAGAAATTAAAAATCGGAAATTTCCCGTACAATTCAATGCTATATTTTTAAAACAACTGACAGTCATGGGTCTTACCGAAAATTTCGGCAAAAGTTGATCGAAAGTACGTTTTTGCGTTTAAAAAATAAAATATGCTTTAGAATAAAAAAAGTTTTATGCAAAAGTTGTAGAATTAATTATTACCGATCGATCTAGCCCAGTCCGATGTTAAAAAATTCTGAAATAAAGTGGTAATTTTAAAAAAACCGTTAAAAATCGCTTTTTTTTAAAACGCTTGTATCTCTTTAAAAAAAAAATTTAGAAGCCATACTTAGTGACAGTGTAGCCCTTGGCAAGCCAAACAGAAGCGTTTTTGAAAATTTGAAAAACAATGAAAAGTTTTTGGAAAAACTGATTTTTTTGTAATGAAAGCATTTTGTTAATGCCAATAAATTATAAACCCGTGAGTTTTCATAAACTTTTTAGGGCTTACAATTTTGTTTCATAGTTGCCGTCATATGTTAAATTACTGCGCGCTTTGTTTATTGATCGGTAATGTGCAAAAAATCGATATTTTTTTTCCACAAAAAAAATTTGTAAATATCTTCAAAAATTAAAATTCCATACAATCGTCGTTATTATTATGTAATAGCTAGTATATTTTTGTAAATTTACAAGAAAAAAAATTAACTCTCCGACCTTCTGAATCCAAGAAATTTTTTAAAAATTTTTTTATTCCTGTGGCATCATTTTTTAATATTTAAGGCTCAAATTTACATGAGTTGAAGTTTAATACTTACAGATGGTTATCCGGATGATGCTACTACGAAATCAGTGGAACGCATGCGTAGGCAATTAAGAAAACCCTTGGAAATTCACTTGATCAAGAACGATGGGGGTGGAAAATTGATGGCACGAATCTGCTCCCCATATGTAGCTCTGATCAAATGATCCCAGAAGACATTTTAAAAACAATAGCCTGCCGATGTGGGACTAGATGCAGAAAAAAAACTTGCAGATGTAGAAAGCATGGATTAAAATGTTTAAGTATATGTTTAAAGTGTGACAATGAAACTTGCACGAATATTGAAACTCCCATTATCGAAGATATTTTGGACGAGGAATTATACGAGGTAAACATTACAGAAGCAGCTATAGACAGCGAAGAATATGTTAATGAAAATGTAAATGACGACATTGTTGACAGTGATAGTGACACATCAGAACTTACTGTATATAATAGAGAAAATAGTAGTAGCAGCGAAAGCAAATATGAATTACCTGTAAAGAAACAAAAATATTGATTTTGTATCACGCATTTTTTTAACGTTTTCTCAGATTGAAATGAAACACGAATTGAAAAAAAAAATTTTTTTTCTTATTTCCTTTGCAATTATAAGTAACCCAAGCACTATAATCATTTACTTTGCCGCTTAAATAATCACAAATTACTAATAAAAACACATGCATTATAATTAAGAGAAAGTCAGTAGGAGTTTGATCTCACCCACTCCACCGATGGTGCTAATGTACTCCTGCCACAGTCCTGATCAGCTCATGTCACTAACGTTCCAGCGCTCAGTAATGACTGATTTGAATTTGGAAATTTTTCATCCAATCTGTAAGTATTAAACTTCAACTCGTGTAAATTTGAGCCCTTTATATCAAACAATTAAGGTAAGGATGTGGAGGGCGAAGAAAAAAAAAAAAAAAGAATTATTTAGCCTTCGTACGCTGACGTTTCGACAAAAATCCTTTCCTCGAACGTTTCGCACTACTCCTTAATGATACATTTTACAAAGGCGTATGTACATTGACAGGGTAACCAGAAAATATGATTGTTAAAACGCGACTCACTAGAGCCTCGAATGTCTATCTGTTGCAGATCCGAGATGCGTGCAAGGACCTCGTTCTCACGGACGAGCAGCTCCGGATGCTCATGGCAAATCTCACGGCGGAGATCAATCGGGGCCTGTCCAAGGAGACCCACGACGAGGCCATCGTCCGGTGCTACACCACCTACGTGCAGGACTTGCCCAACGGAACAGGTTGGCCATCAGCCCATACCATATACATAAAAAAGAAAAGAAAAAAAAAAAATAAATAAAACCCTCCAAAACTCCCTGTACGTTTCGCTCGTTGCAGAGAAGGGCAACTTCCTCGCCCTCGACCTGGGCGGCACCAACTTCCGGGTCCTCCTGATCACCCTAGACGGCCAAAACTTCGACATGAAGAGCAAGATCTACGCGATACCCCAGAGCTTGATGCTGGGCACCGGCAGGCAGCTCTTTGACCACATCGCCCAGTGTCTCGCCCTCTTCGTCAAGGACCTCAAACTCGAGCAAGAGATCCTCCCCCTGGGCTTCACCTTCAGCTTTCCCCTGACCCAGCAGGGCCTCACCAAGGGCCTGCTCGTCAGGTGGACCAAGGGCTTCAACTGCAGCGGCGTCGTCAACGAGGACGTCGTCGGTCTCCTCGAGGAAGCCATCGCCAGACGAAATGTGAGTTGTACCCCACACACGTAACGAACGAAATAACCCACATTGTGTATATACTTATGCTGAGTTTGTGTTTTATACATATATATGTGTGTGTAGGACGTGAAAATCGACGTATGCGCCATACTGAACGACACCACCGGCACTCTCATGTCCTGCGCTTGGAAAAACAAAAACTGCCGCATCGGCCTCATTCTTGGTAAGCACGTTATACATTACCTCTCGTCTACACCTGATTCCTCGATCATCGTCGTCACGGTATATACATACATATATATGACTATACGCGATGATGATGGCGAGAGAGTATAGATGTTGTATTTGTTTTGATCCGTGGTCTCGTCGTGCAAGCACAACATTGTCGGGTGCCTCTGAGGAATTATGCTGCATGAGAGAGAGAGAGGAGGTGCGAATGTAGGTGTTTATACAATATTAACGATGTGTTCGGTGGTAATTTCACAGGTACGGGGAGTAACGCGTGCTACGTGGAGAAAACGGAGAAGGTCGAGTGCGCCCTGCCTGGGCAGCACTACCCGGAGAAGCCGCACATGCTGATAAACACGGAATGGGGGGCGTTCGGCGAGCGCGGCACCCTTGACTTCCTCGTCACGGAATTCGACCGGGACATCGACGACAACTCGATCAATCCCAAGACACAGATATTCGAGAAGATGATATCGGGCATGTACATGGGCGAGCTCGCCAGGCTGGTCCTCGAAAAACTCACCAACGAGGGATTCCTCTTCAACGGCAAGGGCTCCTGCGACCTCAGGAAGCGCGGCAAATTCTTCACCAAATACGTCTCGGAGATCGAATCGTCAGTACACTTGCACATTTGTACACACACTTGTCGTTTGACAATCGGAAGATAAATCGTTTGTTTGTTTGTTTGTTTGTCCTTGCAATAAACAGGGATCCAAAGGGAAAGTACACCAATTGCCGGGAAATCCTGGGTGAGCTGGGAATCAGGAATCCCACGGATCAGGACTGCGAGAACGTGCGGTACGTGTGCTCGGTGGTGTCGAGGCGGGCGGCGCACTTGGCCTCGGCCGGCATAGCCGCCCTGCTCGTCAAGATGGGCGAGAACAACGTCACCGTCGGCGTCGACGGCTCCGTCTACAGATTCCATCCCCACTTCCACGATCTCATGGTCGAGAAGATCGGCTCGCTTCAGTCGTACAAGGTGAGAATGATTTTTGAAAGCAATGGAGCAAAGGGGAATTTTGGGGAATATGGAAATTATGTGTACCATGATTTTTTTTTTTTTCTTTTGCCGATAGTTCGACCTGATGCTCTCGGAGGACGGTAGCGGTCGCGGCGCGGCGTTGGTTGCCGCGGTGGCTTCGCAAAAGCGGTGAAGTCAGTCGGCTGTAGTCTCGCACGCGTTATCACTCCTTAATCACGCAACTCTTACTTAATAATGCAAATAATCTTGTATAAATTTATCTATCGAGCATTGAGAAAGAAAACAACAAAAACAACAAAAAATAAATGAAAAATAACAAAAAAAAATAAAAATAAAAAAAAAAAAAACGACAAATCTACTACTAGTACGTTAAGCCGAAACTAAAATGAAAGAAAAGTTTAAATAATGTTACATTGAGTGTATGAATTGAAGATGGATTGGTGAGACACACACTTCTGTACATAAAGCAAAAAAGTTACTAGCGTTAGAATCTACCTGACAGTGGATTCAGATTGACGAGTTACACCCAACCCGCACACGCATAAACACTTGGGACACACACATACACCAAAGCGAAAATATTGAGACGGTGGTTGCATTGGTCGTGCAAAGAGCTCCGACGTTGTCTTCAATTGTTGTTTTTTTTTTTTCTCAAGAGACAACGTGTATGTATACAACGCGAGGAATAATTGATCTGTCAGTAGTCAGTGTTGTTATACGTACTATTGTTTAAAAGTCCGTTAACGACGGATTGTACATTATATTATATTGTATGTATATGATTTTATCGTTGCTCATTGATCTTGAAAAAGAAAAAAAAGAGTGAGGAAATGCGTATTTGATATGTGTGATTGTGTGAAAAAAAAAAAATACTTGTAGAAATTGTTTCTTCGATTATTAGTAGTTAGTTGATATTTTATAAT